TTGAGTCTTGAATTCCAAGAAAAAAAACTGTTTAAGTTTATATTAAATCGCGCACTGATTTCTCAGCAAGTCCAGGGCGCGATGGAGAACATGTTTAAGATGACCAGGTAAGTTTCTATTTAACTTTGATTTGATTTCGATTTCAAGGAACTGTTTCCTGGAATTTATTCTTCTGAAGTTTCAATGACGATCTGGTTTTTCGATAGCGAGATTGATGAGAACTCTGCCGGAATTTCGGAGGAGATCGAGAAGTGCAAGGAATCTGCTATCGAGAAGAAGAAAGACTTAGAGGAGGTCAGAGAGCAAGTCGAAAAAGCTGCTTACGCCGTCTTGGAGTTGCTCAACAACCGAGCATAGAATGCACAGATGCTGTAAGTTCTTGAATCTTCATATTTTCCACGAATTACATTATAAAAGTTCGTTTAGAAGATGGCCGAAACCGATTGATTAGTCGTCATTCGTCCATTCATTCCTTAATACGTAGTGTCTCTGTTTAAAAGATAAACAAGCGATCGTTATCTCGTAATGCGTTTAGCTCTTCGACCTGTGAGCCGTCTGCCATCACAACTGTGCTTCCTCTTTTTCCAAACTTTTTCTCTGCATTCACAAAATAGTTAGTAAGTTCCAATAATTTGTCAACTTGTGACGAAAGTGTGAGCGAGGTCGAAAATTTGTGTTCTATTTGGTATGAAACTGTTCGGTAAATCAGTTAGTATTACTGAGAAGATTGTGATATTCTATATTGTTGGCGATATGTTGAATCATGAACTCCGGCCTTCTGTGGCGGATTTTAGTTCTCACCATTTGTATTAGCCACTTACTAGCTCCGACCATTTTATAGTTTTCGGAGGTATGTGTCTCAGATAGGGGAGTACCTGCTAATTTCAGAAGCTCTTCCATTGACTTGGGCAAATGAATGAGTTTTCCGTTCGTGTCACCTTCATCTGGATGATGTCCGTGAATTATGACTCTCATAGGAATTGGCCCTGGAGTGAAATTTTCGCTTGTTTCTGTAAAATGATAGTAAATTTTAAACTAAGATGACAAATATCCTGAAACTTTTAATGCATAGAATTAGTATGTAATGCTGTGTCCACTTTAACCTAAAATTCCTCATTTGAACATTTTTAGTTCTGGCTCTAGCCTACAAATTTCAATGTACGTTTCACAATTTTGATTCAACTAAGGGATGACTTTACCTTCCATGTTCGCTTCTCCTTGGTAATTCACTGGTTCATTTGGTTGTATATGCTGCAAGGAATATGAAAGTATCATCATTAACATGAACCGAAACCGAAACCACTCAGTGTTGGCTTTCCTTAGCTCAATGCAGTTGAAGTTATTCTAAGTAGAATGTCTGGCAAAAATTCCGAACTCCTAGTAGTCCTTTACATTGGTGTGAATTCACAATGCTTTCTTCAATAAACAATAGAAGCTAAGGAAAAGCCGGATAAGTAGACTCAGATTTACGGTCAAGTTATTCTGTTAGAAATGGAGATGTGTACCTCTATATTCAGGTCATCGAGCAATTCTGTTAGAAATGGTATTTCTTCTCGCACCTCTTGTTTCAGGTCTTTCAAGTACTGCAAAGGAAAGACTCAGCATAAACAACTGACTACGCATGATAGGGTTATTTATATATCTTAAAAGAACGAAACGAGAGTAATGGAGAGAGCAAGGAGATAGATTTTGTTACCTCAATGAAGTTTTTGATTATTATCTTGCTGTCTTCATTCTGTGACTGAACGATTTGCTTGAATGATTGATGGCTGATCCGAATAACCTGAGAAAGCTTTTTTGTTCTCACCGTAAAAGGTTGGGGGATGTTGAAAAATACCCCAATCTCTCCTACCAAGTCTGCAGATCCTAGTTTTGACAAAAACTGAAAATACAAGCAAGTTTAATCAGAACAACATACATAAGAAAAGGCTTCTCAGTGTCAACAAACATTGCTGTAATAGCTTGTTTCTGTGTTAGAATTCCGAGGGTTGATTCATAGGTCATAAGTTAGCTGGTTTAACATGCTAGCGATCTCCCGCTTAACGTTACTTTTTCTTTCCGTTAAAGCTAGGGGAGGAGAGGGTATATGTACTTCTTGGTTTCTTTTACCATACTAATTCTTTGTATTCATTTTTCAGACTGTATCTGCTTAATTGAAGAGAACATCCGAGATGAGCCATTTCTCACGAGCACAATATCCTTTCCTGGTTACGGTTCAAAGTTGAATTTTTATGATCTTTGTTCATCCGCCTCTGCAGGTTGTTGGAAGCTTAAAGGACAACTCAATGTGAGAAAGCTACGGGTGTCTTCCTTGAGGTTGGATGGATCAGTTTCGGTAAGAGATGCACAGTAAGATCCGTTAGCAGTTCATTCTATGCACGCTTGTGTCATCTGACTATTGGTTTTCCTTAATTTGATTCTTGGCTTGAACATCCTACAATGCCAATAGGTGCACTGTTTTGTTTTCCTCAGTTCATTCATAGCCGTCATCTTGCATTACATGTTTTACCATGTTCGATAATTTCTTGACTCTCAAGCCTTTCATGTTTATCATCCCTTCATGATTACTTCATGTCCAGAACTTCATAGTTAAAATAGCGCATACGAACACACTACACTCTAAAAAAAAAAAACTTGGCAGATGCTCTCCTGTATGGAAGATGCAACTTACATCTCACTGTTCATCACTGGGGAACCTAGAGAGAGTACATTGCATTTTCCATAGAGAAGAGGTTCTGAAACCCGAAACAATCTATGGAATGCTCACAATGAAGTGCTCAAAGGTACCTGTTCTGTGCCGTTCTTGTACTTGAGCACGTCCTGCATTTCAAATACGCGATGCAATTAGTTTATGTTTCTGCTATATCTTATGTAGGATTGATATGTGAGAGAGAGAGAGAGAGAGAGAGAGAGAGAGAGTGTACCAACGCTTCATTTACTAGAATGTAGAAATCTGTTGGGATTTCGTTTTGTAAGATGATGTCAACTTTGGGGGGAAAGTATTCTGCTTTCATCTCTGAAATCTGCAAACAACAACGTTCTTTGATGAATTTATACAACGACGAGATCATATTATGAATCTTGCATTTAGAGGGAAGAGAAGAGAGTAGGTAATAGCTATACCAATTGGACGGTTAGGTGTTCAGAGACTCCCTTGAACAGGTAGGTTTTCTCGACGGTTTTTCGGAAAAGATGGTGGGAAATGCTGGATCTGATTGCCTTAGGAAGGTCTTCAAGCACTTCTTCTTGCTGCAACTCTGCAGTCTTGAACTTGAGCTGCATGTGAGCCAGCATTTGCTCTTTCAAGCCTTCTGGAAGTCTGTTTTTGCTTGCATATCTGAATATCTCATTGATGGCATCCCTCTGTTTATAAACCACATTCAACAAAAAAAGTCACTTCAAATTAGTCTATTATATAAGTAATCGACCATTGCGTCGTGTTTTATCAATGATTTCCGTACACCATTTTTCTCACGCCCTCCACGAAGATAGATAAGAATGTGTAGAAAGGGGAAAATGTGTATAAATGATTTCCCGAATTCAAATGCTAAGGTCAATTATCTACATATAGGTGATTTTTATGGTTTTGGCTTTTGAAGTGGGTTCTACATGCATCAAAGATGCTTGATTAATACGAAAGTTATTTTTTATAAGACAACATGTTTATGGTGCGAGACTGTGATTAGGTATTACACATTAAGTAGGCAGTCATGCAACAATTAGCTTTGTTAATGGCCAAACGACTCAAATTCACAGTCTAGCAATACGATTATGTCGTTGAAAAGTTGACAAGAGAATATTTTTCTTTAGTTATTTTAAAAACCGTTTAATAACTATTTCGTTTTTTTTTTTTTTTTTTTTTTATAACTGAAAACAAAATCGTTATCAAACTTCTGATTGCCAAAGAGGAGAAAATCATATACCATGAATAAAGTTCGAACAGCGCTATGGACGACGAGATTGGTCATGTTTCCAACCAAGTAAGCAAAGAGGCCAATGTTGAAAAGCATATAGAAGATGCTAAAAATCTTCTCCCCAAAGTTGACCGCATGCAAGTCGCCATATCCAACGGTGGTGAGAGTGACAGTGGCCCAGTAGATGGAATACGTGTAACACAACCAGATGCTTCTGTGGTCGAAGTCGTTGATCTGGCTTCCAATCCATGTGTCCTTTGCTTGTTTGTGATGGGTTGCCATCCAGAAGTAGAAGCAACCTGATGAGTGCACTGCAAACAGTGTAACCTGTGCTCCAAAACCCCACCGGAAAAACATAGGTTGATTAGTACTAGTTATTGTTATGTGTTATGTTGTTAGACTGTGAATCAGGATCTATAATGCTAATGCGGCAAAATATGTATGAAACAACCTAAATGTGCAGTCAACATAACATACCAAACATGAGAATGTAGCAAGTAAAATAAAAGCTCAAAGAGAGGAAACTAGATTCTTACACAAATTAGTTTGATGTATCGAACCCAAAAGTAGCTAAAGCGTGTGTCTTTCTCTAGCCTGCACGTGAATAAACACTAGTCCTTTATTAGGATCTTAATCACATGTTAATTTTATGTATAATTAGTGATTTAGTATGTAGTTAGAAGTTAAGGTACCTTTTGAAGAGTTCACTAACACGCCTGAGACGCCATAGACGAAGCATATTGATGAAGCCAAAGACTTGCCGATGGTGCATATTGCCAGTAAAAATTCTATATATCACTTGAAATGGTAGAGTTGACGCTACGTCTAGTGGAAAATATATTCTTGTAACATACCTATAATTACCAACAAAATAAAAATAGATAATTTCAATTAGTATCAAGATTAATCATCATTCTTAACTTGATTCTTTTTTGTAATTATCTTTGGTGGTGGTTAACTTTGACATTCAGTACGAATGTTTTTGTATAAAACTCGTTGTATGTAAGATAATTCACAATCTTGTAATACAAAACAAAGAGCAAATTCAAGTGGTGCGGGTAGATAAATTGATAAGAACCGATTTGACTATGCTAGTGCGATCAGAAGTAAGAAATGATTTCCATATAATAATGTGTTTTTTCAAGCACTCTCATTTGTTTCCGTCTTTTAATTCTCTTTTGATTTTTCATTTTAAAGAAAAGAAAATATGATATAAAAAACACATCTTAAAATTACCTTATATAGCCTACTGTTGTAAAGTTATGAGGATAAATGAATGTCCACAGTAAGGTAGACTTGGGAATAGTAGAGGAATAGTAGTTGTGTGATGCTTTCAGAAAGTATAATCATTTTGTTTGTTTGGTTTTCACGGATGTTACTCTATATACAGAGCATTCCGTGTGATCACAATACACACTGCAAAAGAAAAGAACTAAAAACAATAATATAAGTATCCCTCCTTTCCTCTTTTTACCTACAATCCTTTTGTGTTATAGTTACAAAACTAAACAGTATGATATTTTGCACCTGCTTCGCTTTTGTTCCTAGCAAAAGTTATCTCTATAACTTTTTGTCTATTTATGTATGGTAGGAAATAGGCTAGGACAATTTTGACCTAGTAAAAAAAGCCATGGCAAAAATCGTCCTTTGGATTTGTGTGGGACTCCCTTGCTTATGTGACCACATGCTAACCGAATCTTAGCACAGGCTCATGGATCATTTGTTATTGTGGATTCATAATCTATCATATTCAATTCTGCTCATCTTATATTTTGACACCTACTCCAACCAGTTCACCAAACAAGCCTTACATCCTTTGGATCACGGATTGTTAGATTATTGTAATAATGTTTCATTGATCCTCTTTCTCGATTGACTCAGAACCTTGTTTATTCACAAAATATAAAAAATTATCACATCAATTGGCATTTAAATTTGATTTAATAAGTTGGTGTTTCTAGCGATTCATCATCCATAACACGTCCGGTAGGATAAAAAAGATTTTTGAAATTTTCTTTCAAATCTCTCATCAATTGAAAAAATCTAATATTATATGACAATACTAATGAGGATTTTTCATAATTAATCTGTTTCCTATTAAATCCAAATTAATCTCTCTCAGGTTTTGGCTTTATGATCGAATAAATTGAAAGAGGATTAAACGACATAATTTTTTTTTTTAGTATTTAATTTGTGATACCATAAATCACTCCTAAAAAGGGGCGGGAGTAGGGGAGTAAATCCAGGAGAGAAGAATATTACCTCAAAGCGATTTTCTTGTGATCAAGTACTAAGAGGTAGGTTGACTTGTCCAAGTAAGCTACGAAGAAAGTTAGGATGATATCAACGGCGAAGAATGCATCCACAACCAAATCGACGGGCAGGAGTGACCCAGTCGCCACCTTTTTGAAGGCCAGTTCGAACGGCGACGCCCATGCTGAGAATATCACCAGCACCACCAAGAACGCCTGCCACCACCTTCATCACATCTCAATGTCATACGCAGCCATTAATCACACTAACATAGGTCATGGATACAGAAATACGTTAGTAGACTATGAATCAGAACGAATATTTTGTACTCACGATTTATTGCGTTAGTATGTAACGTTGCTAGATTGTGAATAAAAAGAAATACATAATATGTTACGCTGTTTGATAAGAGAATATACGAGTGAGATCATTATATTTTACCTGTATCTTCTATCATAGGGAGCAATAACAAACTTCTTGAGCTGCAAGTGGGCTTCATCGACGACGGTTCCAAAAGCCGGTAAGATGCTGCTTGAAACCGAGGCCAAATTCCTAATCTCGCCACTCGAGCGCCTCCGGAACAGCAAGGGCAGCGGCGAGGCTGTTGCCGACCACGACGACATTGTCAAGTGAGAAGAGAGGAAGAGAGAAGAGAGACAAAAGGAGGGTATTGCCTCTTGTTTATACAAAGTCTATGGGATCTCATTAGAATATATTATATATGTAAGTGTGAGGGTTAAGTAAATATATAATAAGGGGAAGAGAGGTGATAGGGAGCTTTCAAACAAGGAAAATTTTATTTGAACTTATGTAACATCTTTTTATACTTAAATTACCTTTTAAACCCTTTTTATTTTTAATTAAAGAATTAATCTCTTTAAACCCAAAATTATTATCCAAACTACCCTCCCAAACCCAATTCAAAATGTAAATTTATTTTTACACCCATTTAGAAAATAAAATCCTAAATTAAATAATTTGGTGAAGTTTCTACTTGTTTATGAATCTTCTAAAAACCCAACACTTTTCAATTTCTTGTTTTCTTGATATTCATCTCTCCGTGATTTTATGTGCATGTAGGAATAATAGATTTTCTTGAGCATAAGAAGATACTTCAAATGTTGTGTTTTCAAAGAAACTCGAAATCAAAAATATTTTCGGTCCTTTCTCTCCCCTCCCACCATGAGCTCTTTGAAACAAATAGCTTTTAGTCCCTTGTCTCCTTTAGCTTTTTAGCTCTTTAGTGACAGAGATTTTTGAATTTTTTTTTTGAATTTTTCTACCAATTGCTTCACTGCATCTTATTTAAGTTTTTCGTTAAGTTTCAAATTTCCAACTGGAGCTTTTTTACAGAACTATGGCATCTCATATGTGTGCATTTTATTTGATCTTTTTCGTATAATCTTCTTAGTAAAACAAAAGCCTCAATTTTCATGGGCTAACAACTTATTCATGAAAGGTTAGAGAGCGTGGTAACTAATGCCTGCTTAATATGGGAGGACAAACTAGCACGCCAACAAATTGTAATGCCAAAGAAATAGTTTTTTCTTTCTAATATGTCAAACAATTTATTAATACTTCTACCAATAAAAAAGGTTTAGCATCCAAGAAATTTGGTGTCTGCAACATCTATTAGGGTTTGAGCCAGATGAATGTAGGATAAATAAGGAGTGATGGACGGTATGGGTTTATTGATAAATTTAAGTTTTATTATTAATTTTATATTGTACTTGATGATAATTATACAATAGGGTCAAAAAGACAATTAACATTTAAAATTTAAGTTGAGTGTAGGAAGATGTTATATGTGTTCAAATAAAATTTCCCTTCTAACAATCTTATATAATTAATCAATTTAAACAATCTTATATAATTAATCAATTTTTTAATTAATCACAATAATTCACGTAGAGATGACATAAATAATAGTTTTTCTGTCTCGTTTGAGGAATTATTTGTATCACATCCGTTGCTTAAAGTCAAATCTTCCCAAAAAAGTCAAATATTTCAAAACAAGATAAAACTAAATCTTTTTAAACGTCTTATCTTCTTATTATTTTCCTAATTAGCACCGGCTTTATAACTTCCCTTAACGGATGATGGAATCGTATTTTATTCCGTAGTCTTAATAGAAATTTTAATTGATAGAGTCTAAATTATTAATAGAAGATTCGAACTTGGGATGTAGAAAAAAATATTGTTATATAATTCAACGTATGCACAAGTAATTAAGATAATCAACTAAAATTACAACTCCCAATAAGAATAAGAACGTGTAATATCAACGCTCTCCAATATTACTAGCATAGAAAACTATCGTGGAGTACGTTATGCTCATCCGTTAACAAAGGCGGTCATGCTCGAGAAGAACATCTTGTCAACATATTGGACATTTTTATGTGTATTAATGCTAGACGAGAGGACAATAATGGGTGCATATATAAGGTTTTTAAAAAGACTGAAAGCGATTTAAAAAAAAATATTTTCAAGTTTTAAAAGCATGTGAAATGTTTCCTACCAGGAGCACTAGTTATGAATCACTTTTAAATGATTTTATAGGATTGACTTATATTTTAACTAAAAATTAATTTAAAAAACATTATCATCAAAAACACTTTCAATCATTTAAAAAAAAAAAAACTTCAAAACGAGTCCAACATACGCCGGTTCCATCTGAATCAGTGAATCGCAACGTGCAACGCAAAGCGTGCCTAGTGATGATATATATATATATATGACTACTTTAAATCTTTGAAATAATGGATAAATATGAAATTATAGGTTTTTTTTTTTTTTTTTTTTTTCAAGGGATGGACGTGGATGGCATGCATGTGGCCAAATTCCTACATATTATTGAACGTTGTACTTAGCTTAATCCCAAAATCCTTTTGTCTCATGTCATCAGTAATGAGCGTCACATGTTTTGTCAACTGTTACCGACGGACTTTCCCTAATATTCCCCTATTACAAATGCTGAGAAGCCTATCCCTCAAAGTATGATTCTTTATGAATTCTTTGACATTTTGCAATTTAATATAATTCTCATGCTAAAATTATAAAACATTACGTTAAAAAAATGTGATGTCAGATAATCAAAAGATAGTTCTACTTTTAAAAGAATATTCTTAACATATTTATCTTCGGTATTCATTAAAAGAAGGCCTTTATTCTGGTAGGTAAGAGAAAGACAAGGCCCTAGCTCCTAGGCCTCTTGACAATTTCCCTTGCTTCATTGAAACGTTACTCAACAGCCTCAAATTACTCACTTTTCTTTAACAAACAGTCAAAGTTCACAGACTAATGAATAAAAAAACAAATAAAATCATTCGAACTTAATACGTCTTCAAACATTATAAGTGTTTTTATCCTATTATATTATTTTTAAAATTATCAAGTACTGGTCAACTAGAATCTCTGTAACCTTTCGAAGTATTCTTGCTTTTGCACCCTCGTTGAAGCACACGAACCAACCTCGAACAAATTGAGCTAGTTTTAACTTTTAATCAAACACTCGTTACAACGTCCGTTAGACATTGGTTTCGAACGTCTAGTTTTAACCGTTCGTTGTTGGTGATAATATTAATAGGCCTAATGCAATGATTGTGTGCACAATAAAACGATTTTCTTGATACTGCCTCCTCAACATGAATTAACGATGTTTTCGTAAGGGTCCAACTACTATGCTACGTTCTCAGTGATACGGGTTGTATGCAAGGACTGACCGTTGCATTAATCCATTAGATTCTTACCAAGCGATTATGGCTCAAGTTGTTAAAATCGTTCACCCCTTGTATAAAGAGAGAAAGAAATGTTTGCCACTGCACTCGAGGTCCAGTGTTCGAATCGCCGCACCACAAATATGCGTGTATCAATCAGTTTTTCTTACAGGAAATGAAAAATACAAACATGCGTTACCCCCCAAAAAATGCAAATATATACAAGAAATGCCTCTCTTTTTCTCTCTCGCATCTATACACATCCGCAAGCACTCCTAAATTAACTAAGCTCTGAAGTCTAAATGCCAAAATCCACTAACAAAAAATCATTGACGAAGCAAAGAAATGCAGTGACAAGGCACGTTCATACCGCACACGAGCAACGTGTTGTCTACTCGGTACTTGGAAGAATTGTTATCGATTTCTGTTCGGCCTTTCGAGAGACGTTCCCTATGTCTGTGTTGTCCAAAACTCGGGCAGAGTTTCAGAACATTCTGAATATAACAGAGCAAACTCGATGAGTCAAAAGCAGCTTCATCAATGGCAGCGGGAAGTCTTGACAATACGAAACAAAAATGATGGCGGTAACTACCACCAGATATCGGCAACACGCCATTCCAGTAGCAACTGGGTCCCCTAGCCGTGGTCAGGCCCCATCTGTTTCAAACTATCTGGGTGCAGCAAAACAAGCAAGGCCAACAGTAATTTGCTTGCACCGGCTGTAATTTCCTCAAGCAACCATATCACATGTACTGGGCCAACCATTGTTTACACATATCCAGCACAGGAAGTGCATTCGCATGTAATGCCTGCAAATAAGTTAGAATAAAGATATGAATATGGTATGTGAAACAAAAAGATATTAAATAAAAGCATTGAGCAGCGTGTTGACAGCGCTAAAATCTTAGAAGCATAAACCAGATGAAATTTTTATAGATTATTTTGAACAATTTACATGTTGGCCAAGCTATGTAACCTATCTGTAAACAGGAATAGTGTCCTTTTCCCATAGATTGTTTTTTGATGCGTGTACTTCAAAGTACCATGTAGTAAGGGAGAGTTTCTGAGGAAGGAAAGGTAACCTGATGAGCTACATATTGGACATCGGCTACACTTCCACTACGAGAAGCAATTTGGAATGCACTTTTTAGACGACCACAAACCACACAAGCCAGAACCTTCCTGCATAGCCAAATCAAAAACACAAAAATGCACAGAACAAGTTTCTTAGTACTAAAAGTTCAACTAATCAAAGTTTAACAATTTTCCAACAGCATGAAACCACTACCTGTGGCTACTGGTCAACATGTCTATGAGACGGTCAGGGCGCTCTTTGTGTTTGTTAGCATATACATTAATTGCAGCTCCCAAGACCTACATGAGCCCAAAAATACATAAAAATTTACTAAATTCAAAATGAAAGAAATAGAATAAGTTTCAGACTTCCAGAAAGCGGAAAGGGAGACACAGAAAACAGTTCTAAAACTAATTCCAGTTCGAAAGTATCAAAATATAAACCTTAAACTGAAAACAAGTTACCAGCTAAAATTGACTCTTCATAATCTTAATGGATCATCAGTATATTATAACTCGGTCAATGATCATAACAAACTGGAGGTATTTAACTTAGCCTTGCATTTTCCTCTTCTGTTGGTAAAATGCTAGAACGAATGGCGAGGATGATGAATTCTCACCATTTTTTTCATTTGTTGTGAATTTAATAAAGAGAATGGGATACTTTGTGTGCTTTATCAGGTTATTGAGCAAGATGTAAATCACATTACCTGGTCCCAGTCATCGTCATCAATTGTTCCTTTTATGTTTCTAAAGAATTCTGTCAGTTGACTACCCTTTTTTCTCTCAGCGAGTGATGCAGCGACACCAGCATATATATCCACAGCTGAAAGTTATGAGAGGATGGAATGTAAATAAAAACATGCACTAAATCCAGAACCAAATTCTGCGAAAAAAAAGGGTTTGAACATGAAATCATAATGTAATGGCTACCTGGAAGATTGAATTCATAAATCACTTGGAAAGCCAAATCAAAATTCTTTTCCACAAGAGATTCAGCTATTTTGCACCTTCTCCTGCAAAAAGAGCAAAGGGCATGAATTTCCTCACCATCATATCAAAATATTTCTCATGTAACGTGTACAATGGCAAGGAAAAAAGATAAACAGCATAATGCATGGTAATAAAACCACCGAAGAAACGAGTACCTTATAAAGAAAATCATTTTTTTTTCATCAAATAAACCAGAAAATTATGGAATGTCCTTATAAATATCCTCATTCACAAATTATAATAGTAATGCGGTCAACCCTGGGACATATTCACATCATGGAAGACAAATTAAAAGAGGAATGCATGGAATGTACTGATACCACACCGCTGAACATTTTCCTTTAACTCACTAACATGAATAGACTTTAACTAATAGCAGTAGCAATTTTTTTTTCCTTTTATAACTTTGAATTCTAGTCATGCACGCTTGTTGTTTGAACAAGAAATACAAATATATGAAAAAACAAGGCAAAAGAAATAGCTTCGGGCAGTGAAGTAATTGGTTTCTTTAATATCATAAAAAACTAATGACACTCATGCTAAGCCCAGCACTGATAAGAACCACTCGGACCTGAATGTTTCATGGTCATTTGGATTTCCGAAAAGTGAATGTTTCCAATGTGGTCCATCCGCATCATTATACGATCTCACAACTTCAACCTGCCATATAATAATAAATCAACAGGAAACATGAGAGACAAATGCCAATGAAACTGTTTATTGAATTAAACGGACTGTTGATATCATTTTCCACCAAATAGAAGCATATTAATATGTCAGCTATTGATTTGGTCCATACAGATAGCCTACTAAATTACCATGGTTTTAACATCTGATAGCTTTTTTTGGGAATTAACATCAGATAACTTAGGCAGAGCCGCAGAGCCAAGTCCTCAATACACAAGGATAATATAAATGAGAGACAATAATTCAAATGATAAAAGATGTTTCTTGAACTTTTTAAAGGATTTTTTGGACTGTCTTGGTCAAATGTTCATGTATGTGGCCCTCAAATCTTCACATTTAAATCATAATAAGTCTTCCAAGTTCCAACAATTTCTTTAAATTAACAACATAAAAGAATATAGGACTTCAGCGATGCAACTACCTGAATCGATACCCGCGCCGAAAACTTGACAAGTCCTTCTTCAGTTAGCTTTTCAGAGGCACTTTTTCCTCTAACACCCTTCGTCACAAGCTTAGTAGGATCCCCACCTTTGGATCGTGCTGATAACGCTTCATCAAAGTGCATCTAAAACCACCAAAATTTGAAGAACATGAAAGACATACAACCACTACAAATTCATAAATTTGAAACTATGGGGCTGAAATTCTCCCGGCTTTGCTGCAAACCCTAAACCTAATTCCCAAACTATAGGGCTGAGATTCCATGCCATTATACATCAAAATATATAGGAGACATCTTGGAAAATGTTTGATAATTAAGATGGTCCAAGGGCAATAAGCGAAAGAATACCTTGGCATTTTCCAAATGTTTTATAGCTTCCTCTTGCAAAGATGAGTTCATAAACAATTGGATGCAGCAAAGTCCAGCAGCAACATGGTCCTTCTTAATAACCTGAAAGATGAAGTAAATATCTGAATCCAACTAAAAGAAAATAAAAGTACAATATGATGAACATTAAAAAAGTGCAGCTTTCTAACAATCCTCATTTCAGTTCCACATGAAACCCATTGAATGAAGCATTTACCTGAAACTTGTACAAATAATTGAAATGCCTGTGAGTTTCACAGTAGATGCAAATACGGGAAAGGGCCGCAGCTGTATACTGGCTTACTGCTACATCTTGCAGGTTTTCAGATGACATTCTTGTTGAAATTACTTCTTCTAAAACAGCCATTGCACCATAACCAACACATAAATCACACAAATCGTCAATGGTCCCATAATCAGTTCCCAAAGGGTCTGGCCTTTGAGGGGATGAAGATGAGGATGCTGCCCCCACTGTTGATGGCTGAGAAGGTGGGGGAACAGCATTTGGAGGAAAGAACAGCATGCATGCATCATTATAATGACCATGCCTAAACATGAAATTGAGCAAATGCTGCCGTGCATACTGCAAAGGATTGAAAATAGCTATCAAGAACCTGACTGTAAACAAAAGTATAAAAATGGGAACATAACAGGAAAGGGAAGTAGCAAGAATAACATCCTTAACTCGTACTCTAGATGTATGCGAGCATAAAAAAAATCGACATGCACAGTTTATAAATTCAGTTCCTTGTCATTCAAAATCTGTAAATTGAGATACTAGGTCAATGCTAGCTTGAGCATAGAAGGAAGGTGAAACTTACTTCTTGTAAATAGTTGACACACTCAACATATCGTATGCTGTCTAAGTTGCTGCGAGGTCCATCTTCAAAGTCTGAAATATGAGTGGAATTACTATTCGCAGATTCATGAGAACGCCTGGATCGCTCTGATCGAGGAAATGTCGAAGGCATGTACAATACGTTGAGATATGCATCAGCAGAAAGAGAATCATCCAAGATTGTCGGTGCACTTTTAGCCAAATGTTCATACCTGCAGTATAAGTTGCATTTTCAGTTTATACTTTATACACAATGACAGCTTCAGAAAAGTGTGTTCATTACATAAGCACATATTTATTGATTCAGAATCAAAAGTTCCAGTGCACATAGACTAAAGGTGCATGATACATGAGCAAAAGTGTTTTGAAATGCCAGACTGTCATGTTAAGAATAAACTCAATTAACATAACCACGACCTGATACATCAGCAACACTACAGTGCCTCTCATTCCAGCCCAGGGCACAATAAGAGATGTAAATCATAATGTATCTATATGTCATATATCATGCACTGAATAGCACGAGGTTTCATCACAGTATATAACCATTACGGAAATGGACAATCTCAATTGTTCTTCAACATTGATAAAAAAACCCAAATGGGTACAAAGATGATTCATCTCAAATTTAACAAAAAGCTAATTTTTCTTCATATTGGCAAACAAGCTCAATGCTGAGTTTCTTCTCATTTATTACTGTCAGTTTGGTTGACACTATGAATGGAGTTGAGTTTCTTCTAACTCAAGTTTATACAGAAACATAAAATTACCATGGATCATCATGCTTATTATCAAGCTTCCTGTTTATTGAAAGAAAAATTCTAAAAGCCCATTGGTCTCTGTTCCTCGTATAAGTGATAAATGATTTTACAACAACAACAACAACAACAACAAAGCCTTTTCCCACTAAGTGGGGTCGGCTATATGAATCCTAGAACGCCATTGTGCTCGGTTTTGTGTCATGTCCTCCGTTAGATCCAAGTACTCTAAGTCTTTTCTTAGAGTCTCTTCCAAAGTTTTCCTAGGTCTTCCTCTACCCCTTCGGCCCTGAACCTCTGTCCCGTAGTCACATCTTCGAACCGGAGCGTCATTCGGCCTTCTTTGCACATGTCCAAATCACCGGAGCCGATTTTCTCTCATCTTTCCTACAATTTCAGCTACTCCTACTTTACCTCGAATATCCTCATTCCCAATCTTATCCTTTCTCGTGTGCCCACACAACCCACGAAGCATCCTCATCTCCGCTACACCCATTTTGTGTACGTGTTGATGCTTCACCGCCCAACATTCTGTGCCATACAACATCGCTGGCCTTATTGCCGTCCTATAAAATTTTCCCTTGAGCTTCAGTGGCCTACGACGGTCTCACAACACGCCGGATGCATTCTTACACTTCATCCATCCAGCTCGTATTCTATGGTTGAGATCTCCATCTAATTCTCCGTTCTCTTGCAAGATAGATCCTAGGTAGCGAAAACGGTCGCTTTTTGTGATCTTCGCTAGATTGCTCCGGTCATTAGTATGGATAAGTATATAAATGGATAGAGATAGGAAAGCAAACACAAGATGTACGTGGTTCACCCAGATTGGCTACGTCCACGGAATAGAAGAGTTCTCATTAATTGTGAAGGGTTTACACAAGTACATAGGTTCAAGCTCTCCTTTAGTGAGTACAAGTGAGTGATTTAGTACAAATGACATTAGGAAATATTGTGAGAGAATGATCTCGTAATCACGAAACTTCTAAGTATCGGAGTGTGGTGTCGTCTTGACTTGCCTTATCTGTCTCATAGGTAGATGTGGCATCTTCTCTGGAAGTACTCTTCCTCCATCCAGGGGTGGTATCTTTAACTGGTGGAGATGCACAAGGTAATGTATCAATTTCACTTGAAGCTTACTTGTAGTTTCAGGCTTGGTCAAGCGCGATACAAACCATGTAGTAGGAGTCCTCCAAGTCGCCGAGCTAGGGGGTCTGCTGAAAGAGGTGACAGACAAGGTAAGCAATCAGAGCTCCGACTGATTGTTCACCTTCTCCCCATCTTGCAGCAGCATGAAGGATAAAGAGAAGAAAAATGAGAAGAGATGATATGAGATACTTTTGCTTTTGAAGAAGTAACTTTCCACAGGCTTATTCTTGAACTGAGCTGGAGGGTTTTCTGGTTTCCTCCAGAGTATAAGGCCGGCTGAAGAATTTGAGGGTCAAAACAAGTCCATCAAATCTAGAGTACGTTCCACCCTGCTGATATGGGATACTTTTGCTTTTGACAGAGTAATGGATGTATCGGCACGTGTGCTGTTACGCTTGTCTCCACATGCTTCCTTGTATCCTTCGCACTTGCCCTATCTGTTCCTCAAGCAGATGCGGAATCTTCCCTGGAAACATAAGATGTTGAAGATGAGTACTCGAGAGCAATGCCAGGTAAGTAATCAGGTAAGGGGTTCCAGGCAGTCAGTTCCTGGCTGGAAGCTTGATTCCAAGTGCTGACTGATTGCTCTCTTTCTCCTTGTCTTGCAGGTAAAAACAAGGCCAAAGGAAAAGACAGGGAAAAAGCATGATATATGGGATACTCTTTGCTTTTAACCCTGATGATATGAGATATTCTTGCTCTAGTATAGCTTGTTTGCAGAGGTATTATCGGGGGGAAAGAAAGCTGAATATTTCGAAAGGCTTCGTTGGGAGTGCCCTCTCAGATATGATGAAGGGTTGAGCATTTTTGCAGGTCTCTGCCTGTCCGTTGGGGATGGAGGTCGACATATATAGGAGTCTCCCTAACAAGTAGTAATGCTATTCCTTTACCCTGCTTTGGTCATAGCACACGGTAGTGGGAGCTGCCAGTTTCACATGTTTTAACTCTGTCAGAGCACTTTGAAAAAGTGGTCTGTGGTATCTGGCTCTCGAGATTCGGAGAACGATGCCTCTTCGATTTTTGAGAAAGCAATCATGCTGGGGGTCTGGCTCTCGAGATTCGGAGAGCAGTGTCTCTTCGATTTTTGAGGAAGTAATCATGTTGGGAGTCTGGCTCTCGAGATTCGGAGGGCGGTGCCTCTTCGATTTTGGAGCAAGCAATCTTGTTGGGAGTGTTGTCTCGAATGTGAGTAAAGGTTGGGCATGTTTGCTAGTCTACCTTGCCACGAAGCACAAAGGTTGACACACAGGGACTTTCCAATTATCCAGCAATGGTACTGTTCCTTTACCCTCTCTTCGATTTTTGAGAAAGTATTCATGTTGGGAGTCTGGCTCTCGAGATTCGGAGGACGGTGCCTCTTCGATTTTGGAGCAAGCAATCTTGTTGGGACTGTTTTCTCGAATGTGAGTAAAGGTTGGGCATGTTTGCTAGTCTACCTTGCCACGAAGCACAGAGGTTGACAAACAGGGACTTTCCAATTATCCAGCAGTGGTACTGTTCCTTTACCCTTGTGGGTAATAATATGGTAGCTAGACCTTCAAAATTTATGTGTCTAAACTTTGTTAGTGTTGTTTCTTTGCTATTCTTTTACCTTTCTTGGTCAGAGCGATGTAGTGGGAGCTGCAAGCTTCACGTGCTCAACTTTGGCAGAGAACTTTGGCAAAGTTATCTGTGGTACCCATGAGCTATTGTTGCGTGTGGGAAGTGGGTGATTGAACAGTAAGATTCATGTGCTTTCTCTACTTCACCAGAAGTCTTCGACAGAATGCCCATAATTTCTGCAAAGCTGAGTGTGCGTGTGACAGGTGCTGACAAGGCTAGAAAAGTAGGTGCCGCTTCGATTTCTGAGATCGGCCCTCGTGGTCTCTGAGCAGCCCAGCTTTTGAGAAAGCGAGCGCCTCTTCGATTGATTCGGAGAACGATGCCTCATCGATTTTTTGAGAAAGCAATCATGCTGGGGGTCTGGCTCTCGAAGATTCGGGGAGCAGTGTCTCTTCGATTTTTGAGAAAGTAATCATGTTGGGAGTCTGGCTCTCGAGATTCGGAGGGCGGTGCCTCTTCGATTTTGGAGCAAGCAATCTTGTTGAGAGTGTTTTCTCGAATGTGAGTAAAGGTTGGGCATGTTTGCTAGTCTACCTTGCCACGAAGCACAGAGGTTGACACACAGAGACTTTCCAATTATCCAGCAATGGTACTGTTCCTTTACCCTCTCTTCGATTTTTAAGAAAGTAGTCATGTTGGGAGTCTGGCTCTCGAGATTAGGAGGACGGTGCCTCTTCGATTTTGGAGCAAGCAATCTTATTGGGAGTGTTTTCTCGAATATGAGTAAAGGTTGGGCATGTTTGCTAGTCTACCTTGCCACGAAGCACAGAGGTTGACAAACAGGGACTTTCCAATTATCTAGCAGTGGTACTGTTCCTTTACCCTTGTGGGTAATAATATGGTAGCTAGACCTTCAAAATTTATGGGTCTAAACTTTGTTAGTGCTGTTTCTTTGCTATTCTTTTACCCTTCTTGGTCAGAGCGATGTAGTGGGAGCTGCAAGCTTCACGTGCTCAACTTTGGCAGAGAACTTTGACAAAGTTTTCTGTGGTACCCATGAGCTATTGTTGCGTGTGGGAAGTGGGTGATTGAACAGTAAGATTCATGTGTTTTCTACTTCCCCAGAAGTCTTCGACAGAATGCCCATAATTTCCGCAAAGCTGAGTGTGCGTGTGTGACAGGTGCTGACAAGGCTGGAAAAGTAGGTGCCTCTTCGATTTCTGAGATCGGCCCTCGTGGTCTCTGAGGAGCCCAGCTTTTGAGAAAGCGAGCGCCTCTTCGATTTCTGAGATCAGCCTTCGAGGTCTTTGAGCAGCCCAACTTTTGAGAAAGCAAACGCCTCTTCGATTTCTGAGATCAACCCTCGTGATCTCTAAGCAGCCCAGCTTTTGAGAAAGCAAACGCCTCTTCGATTTCTGAGCAGGCGCCTCTTCGATTTCTGAAGCTCCGTCGAGTGCAGATTTTTATAGGGGCTGGCATTAAGTTCCAAAGCACACTTGAATCTCCACCAGTAGAAGCTTCATTCTTGCACTTCTAAGATCTTGATTTGTCCGACCTCTTCTCTCTTCAACACCTTTGAAAATGTCTGGCCCCTCCGACCGTCGTTTTGACTTGAACCTTGTTGAAGAGGCAGCCCCGCCTTCTCCAGACAACATATGGCGCCCATCCTTCGTCTCCCCTACTGGTCCTCTTACCGTTGGGGATTCCGTGATGAAGAATGATATGACCGCTGCGGTGGTGGCCAGGAACCTTCTCACTCCCAAAGATAACAGACTACTTTCCAAACAGTCTGATGAGTTAGCTGTTAAGGATTCGCTGGCTCTCAGTGTTCAGTGTGCAGGTTCTGTGTCTAATATGGCCCAACGCCTATTTGCTCGAACCCGCCAAGTTGAATCATTGGCGGCTGAAGTGATGAGTCTCAAACAGGAGATTAGAGGGCTCAAGCATGAGAATAAACAGTTGCACCGGCTCGCACATGACTATGCTACAAACATGAAGAGGAAGCTTGACCAGATGAAGGAAACTGATGGTCAGGTTTTACTTGATCATCAGAGATTTGTGGGTTTGTTCCAAAGGCATTTATTGCCTTCGTCTTCTGGGGCTGTACCGCGTAATGAAGCTCCAAATGATCAACCTCTGATGCCTCCTCCTTCTAGGGTTCTGTCCAGTACTGAGGCTCTAAATGATCCCCCTCCGGTGCCTTCTCTTTCTGGGGCTCTACCGACTGCTGAGACTTCTCCTAAGCAACCTTTGTGAAGGCTCCCTCTTGTGTGTTTATTTTGACTCATGTATATGTACATATTTGTAGCTTATCGGGGATATCAATAAATAAGCTTTCCTTCATTTCAACGTATTGTGTTAGATACACCAAAGCCTTCTTCGCTAAGTTCTTTGAATTTTCTTTTGTTGAAGCTTGTATGTTGAAGCTTTCTGAGTGGAGCATGTAGGTTGGGTAGTGTTCCCTTAATTTTCCGAGTGAGGAAAACTTCTCGGTTGGAGACTTGGAAAATCCAAGTCACTGAGTGGGATCGGCTATATGAATCTTAGAACGCCATTGTGCTCGATCCTGTGTCATGTCCTTCGTTAGATCCAAGTACTCTAAGTCTTTTCTTAGAGTCTCTTCCAAAGTTTTCCTAGGTCTTCCTCTACCCCTTCGGCCCTGAACCTCTGTCCCATAGTCGCATCTTCTAATCGGAGCGTCAGTAGGCCTTCTTTGCACATGTCCAAACCACCGTAACCGATTTTCTCTCATCTTTCCTTCAATTTCGGCTACTCCTACTTTACCCCGGATATCCTCATTCCTAATCTTATCCTTTCTCGTGTGCCCACACATCCAACGAAGCATCCTCATCTCCGCTACACCCATTTTATGTACGTGTTGATGTTTCACCGCCCAACATTCTGTGCCATACAGCATCGCCGGCCTTATTGCCGTCCTATAAAATTTTCCCTTGAGCTTCAGTGGCATACGGCGGTCACATAACACACCGGATGCACTCTTCCACTTCATCCATCCAGCTTGTATTCTATGGTTGAGATCTCCATCTAATTCTCCGTTCTTTTGCAAGATAGATCCTAGGTAACGAAAACGGTCGCTCTTTGGTATTTCTTGATCTCCGATCTTCACCCCTAACTCGTTTTGGCCTCCATTTGCATTGAACTTGCACTCCATATATTTTGTCTTTGATCGGCTTAGGCGAAGACCTTTAGATTCCAACACTTCTCTCCAAAGGTTAAGCTTTGCATTTACCCCTTCCTGAGTTTCATCTATCAACACTATATCGTCTGCGAAAAGCATACACCAAGGAATATCATCTTGAATATGTCCTGTTAACTCATCCATTACCAACGCAAAAAGGTAAGGACTTAAGGATGAGCCTTGATGTAATCCTACAGTTATGGGAAAGCTTTCGGTTTGTCCTTCATGAGTTCTTACGGCAGTCTTTGCTCCTTCATACATATCCTTTATAGCTTGGATATATATGCTACTCGTACTCCTTTCTTCTCTAAAATCCTCCAAAGAATGTCTCTTGGGACCCTATCATACGCTTTTTCCAAATCTATAAAGACCATGTGTAAATCCTTTTTCCCATCTCTATATCTTTCCATCAATCTTCGTAAGAGATAGATTGCCTCCATGGTTGAGCGCCCTGGCATGAACCCGAATTGGTTGTCCGAAACCCGTGTCTCTTGCCTCAATCTATGCTCAATGACTCTCTCCCAGAGCTTCATTGTATGACTCATTAGCTTAATACCCCTATAGTTCATGCAATTTTGTACGTCGCCCTTATTCTTGTAGATAGGCACCAAAGTGCTCGTTCGCCACTCATTTGGCATCTTCTTCGTTTTCAAAATCCTATTGAAAAGGTCAGTGAGCCATGTTATACCTGTCTCTCCTAAAAGTTTCCACACTTCGATTGGTATATCGTCTGGGCCTATTGCTTTTTTATGCTTCATCTTCTTCAAAGCTACAACCACTTCTTCCTTCCGGATTCGACGATAAAAAAGAGTAGTTTCTACACTCTTCTGAGTTACTCAACTCCCCTAAAGAAGCACTCATTTCATGTCCTTCATTGAAAAGATTATGAAAATAACCTCTCCATCTGTCTTTAACCGCGTTCTCTGTAGCAAGAACCTTTCCATCCTCATCCTTGATGCACCTCACTTGGTTTAGGTCCCTTGTCTTCTTTTCCCTTGCTCTAGATAGTTTATAGATATCCAACTCTCCTTCTTTGGTATCTAGTCGTTTATACATATCGTCGTAAGCCGCTAACTTAGCTTCTCTCACAGCTTTCTTCGCCTCTTGCTTCGCTTTTCTATACCTTTCACCATTTTCATCGGTCCTCTCCTTGTATAAGGCTTTACAACATTCCTTCTTAGCCTTCACCTTTGTTTGTACCTCCTCATTCCACCACCAAGATTCCTTTTGGTGTGGGGCAAAGCCCTTGGACTCTCCTAATACCTCTTTTGCTACTTTTCGGATACAACTAGCCATGGAATCCCACATTTGGCTAGCTTCCCCCTCTCTATCCCACACACATTGGGTGATTACCTTCTCTTTGAAAATGGCTTGTTTTTCTTCTTTTAGATTCCACCATCTAGTCCTTGGGCACTTCCAAGTCTTGTTCTTTTGTCTTACTCTTTTGATATGTACATCCATCACCAACAAGCGATGTTGATTAGCCACGCTCTCTCCTGGTATAACTTTGCAATCCTTACAAGTTATACGATCCCCTTTCCTCATTAGAAGAAAATCTATTTGTGTTTTTTGACGACCCACTCTTGTAGGTGATCACATGTTCTTCTCTCTTCTTAAAGAAGGTGTTGGCTAAGAAGAGATCATATGCCATTGCAAAATCCAAGATAGCTTCCCCATCCTCGTTTCTCTCCCCAAAAACCATGGCCACCATGAAAACCTCCATAGTTGCCTGTCTCCCTGCCCACGTGTCCATTTAAATCTCCTCCTATAAATAACTTCTCCGTCTGAGCAATTCCTTGCACCAAGTCTCCAAGATCTTCCCAAAATTTCTCCTTCGAACTCGTATCCAACCCTACTTGAGGTGCGTACGCACTAATCACATTGATAAGTTCTTGTCCTATTACAATCTTGATTGCCATGATTCTATCTCCTACCCTCTTGACATCTACAACATCTTGTACCAAGGTCTTGTCTACGATGATGCCAACACCGTTTCTCGTTCTATTTGTGCCCGAATACCAAAGTTTAAAACCCTAAGTTTTCTAGATCCTTTGCCTTACTACCAACCCACTTAGTTTCTTGTAGGCACATAATATTTATCCTTCTCCTCACCATAACTTCCACTACTTCCATAGATTTTCCCGTTAAGGTTCCTATATTCCACGTTCCTAAACGCATTTTGCTCTCTTGAACTCTACCCTTCTGTCCTAGCTTCTTCACCCTCCCCCGTCTAATAGGATCAAAGTACTTCTTTTGTGTGTCCCGGGTAAAGTTGATAGGAGCATATGCTCCCAAACAACTTTGAGTGGAGTCGTTCGAAAAGAAGTTTCTATGGCCCCCTTGCTCATTTAACACTGCATCCGGGTGCCGATGGAGATACAGCGACCCTTGCTCACTTATCACTGTGCTCGGGCCACACAGCGCGCCACTTACGGGTGACGCCCTAGCTTTAGCGCGATTTTGTTCTGGATTCATTTTCATAAGGATTCGACGTGATCATGGAGTGCCGGCTGTCGACTACCTGACGCCCTCCCCCTCCTCCTTTATCCGGGCTTGGGACTTTACAGTTGAAGAAAATAGAAGTATACAGTGTGCAAGCTTAAAAACTCCCATTAGGAAATAGAAAGAGCTTTCAAACTCCTGGCTTAGAACTTGGACAAAAATTGTCTCAAACTCTAGATCACACAGCATCCTACAAAATATTTGACACCAGACAAACATAATTTTTTTTTATTTCAAAGCTGTATGGCATCTTACATGGAACGAACAGCTGAAACATCAACAGGCGGACCTCCTTCGATTATTGATGATCTCAAGAATGACAGGAGCAGGATCAGCTTTGTACAGTTGGAGAGCTTGCCTAAAAATCAGAAGGGGGGAGATAACATTACTAAACACCTGTACCATACGTACCTCAGCACGGATAAACATGGACATAGAGATACAACATGAAGAGGCGGGGGGAAGAGAGGGGAGAGCGAGAGTAGAAGGGGGACAACACATTTTTATTGAAGGAAAAGGCTCCATAGCCTTTCCATGCCAAATCTAAACTAAACATACTTGAACTTGACACGAGCCTGGGCATAGTGCTCCATCCGAATCAAAGCATGTCCCCATGCATTCCAAACAGGGACAACATCAATCTGACAGAAGTCCCACATATCCATAAGCATAACATGCTTCAAATAATCATTCCAAAGAAAAAACATACAATTAAAAAAAGCAGCAGACTTTAACTACAAAGTTCATCTATGATACTTACCTTGCACTTTTTGCATGTATATACAGCCATGCTGTACCGTTCATCTACAATCAGCCTATCACGGAGACGGGCAGATGACTCTTTATCGGCAATATCATCTAGAGAAGCAGCTATTCCAGATCCCAGAAGGCTTTGGAGCAGCTCAGCGCGTCCTAGCCAAATGTCTGCTTGCGACAACACTTCAGATAACTCATCTGTGGACTGACTGCCCACACTAGAGCTACCAGCATCAGAGGATGCATCATCAATGTCCCTGCTTCTTTCAGAATTACTTGACAAATCATTACCACCCACAATCCTTCTCAGCAGGGATTTAGCGTAAAGTAGCCCCTGCAAAAGCATGCCATGAGAACTAATATTGCAATCCGCATCACAAACTAAAATGCACATAAAGATGATTGCATAGCAAAACCATAACCCTGCCTTTACAAGGTAAAGATGAATGCTCTTCCTTTGTTCGTTATGGAATTTTAACCATGTTGTAAATGCTTTCTGGAAGTATACCTGTACAAGCGTCTCTGTGGCATGATATGCTCGACCAATTATTTCCATAGATGCATTCTCAGGCAATTGTTGGGAGCTCAGCACATTCTTCATCTGTTTAACACACAAATCCAATGCACTTTTTGCAGAGACAGAATCATCAGAACATAGAGAAATCAGTGCCTGCAAACAGAAAACCCAAACTGTCAGCCAGCAGTAGCAGCATGCCCAAACAAGACCATTGCATGCTGAAGAAACCACTAATTAACTAATTATAAAGATAAAAAATTTACAAACCCATGCCAAAAAAACTTCATACAAGGAAAGTATACGATTAAGTGTAGGTGGACTGATGAAATTAGAATTCCACAGAAGTTTGAACAACGATTTAATATAAGCCATGGATGCTCCCATATGTTCTACTTCTACATATGAAATGGACAAATAGCAGTATGAAAATCATTATTTACAATGGCAGCATGAAACATATTTAGCTTTAAATGGAAGTTGGAACATATTTAGTTTTCCTATCTTTATTATACATCTAGGGGTGTTTATAAAAGAAAACTGATGCCTTGTAGACGCTCCTGCATCAAAAAACCAAAATGTACATACTCATTTCACTAGCATACCTTGAAAAGAGTAATGTCAGGGGCACTTTCATAACGGTGAGATGCACGAACAACTTCATCCTTCGTTGCATCACCAGTTAGCATCCATTCTTCAGAAATGGAAATAGCAGGAAGACGTTCTTGCCCATCAACAGAATATGTTGAAGCACGATCCTCTTGGATACCAGCCATGGCCTCCCAAGCTACTTTTTCTGATGGCGTCAAACCTGAACTCTTTCTTTTACGGTAAACATCTTTTGGGGCGGCCCTGTCTCCGGTATTTCGTGGAGCCCAAGAGAAAGCTCTGCGAGCCTCCTTTTGCAGGTTACTTAGACTGCTCGTGAAAGAAGACCTCACAGGTGCACCTGTTCTTGTTTTCTGCTTTGATCTTGTCCCTGAAACAGATACTCGATATTCTCTCGGGGGAGAGCTAATACCGATAGCAATAGCTTTAGCAGCATAGGCAATAATGACATTATTGTCTCTCAACAAAGGAAATTCTTTGAGAATCTGTCAAAGAAAACAAATGTGAATAAGCAATCAAAGAACCACAAACAGAGAGATCACAATCCAACTAGTATGCCTTCATGCAGTAAGTAGTTGAAAATGATCATATGGTATTCAAATCTGTCTTAACACAGAATATGTCAAGTATTGGTGTGTGACTGAAGGCATTTCAGAAGTGATATCTAACCAAAGCAGCTGACTGTAGCTGTTTCCTCATCAGAAGAACCTCAAGTATCAGGTGAGGGTGCTCATGCAAGGAAGAACATCTTTGCTGCCATGGCAATGGCAAGGCAGCCAGAACACGAAGACCTAAAGCCCATGAGTTAAGCCGAGAAACCTCAACATCTGAAAGATTTCCTTCTCTTCGCTTCAGGAAGAAATGAACCTTTACAAAAGTAAAATAAATAAACAAAATAAACATTTTAATTCAACCAAGAGTATATGAATGTATAACACACAAATAGTATTCTTTATTAGATCAAAGAAATTTCCATGAGAAAATTAGATAATTACAAGAAGCTGCTTTGACCGTAAATCAGGTAAAAGCTGCATTGCACCCATGGCAACTGGTAGAGCATCATCTGATTCACGTAGAGAAGATAGAAACCGCGAAGCTTCTGCTGGACCTCCACCACTGAGAGGATCTGCAGTCAAAAGTTTCACAAGCTGCCGGCCCTGCAATTCTCTCCGCAAATCTATGGATAATCCTGCACTTTCAGCCACTTCTAAAGCAGCGGAAACAGCTCCTTTTCCAGCTAATCTGAGTGCCAAGCCCTCAGGATCTTCTTTACACTCTGCTTCAACCTGATATTGAACCAAGAAGGACAAAAGAAGAGAATGAAACCCTACTTAATGTGACATGCATGGTACCACAATAAATAAATAAACAAGAAGAGCTATCTTGTAATATTCCTATCATATTTACTTTTCATTTTAGTCCATAGAGACCAGAATTATAACCTCTTGCCAGCTGCTAAAGTGCTCATCTGCACTTATAATGTGGCTGTACCTCTGCAGAGCTTGTCTCATATGCATGACCTAAGCATCCAAAAGAATTACATCAACAACAAAAAGATACAGTTCACCAAGTACAATAATGCAACATGTAAAACCTTTATCAAGCTTCACGTAATCAAGACATCAATTTAGCATTAATACAATATATGCAATTTATCAAATATTGAAGCACTACCTCCTTCCTAATGGAATCACTTTGAGGTAGGTGGCAGCTGCACATTGTGAGAACATCCAAAGCAGCATCCAGTTCCCATCTATGCATATACCTGGAACAAAATTTGTAAGACTACGACTCTATGGAAATAAGAATATAATGATTCTCATATAATCATTAGTGCATGTGTAACACCATTAACCACACCCCTCAGTTAATTGGACTATAAACATACGAGAAGGATTTGGCTGATTCACAACATGTGATGCCAGGGAAAGCTAACTATACTATGAGACTCGGAGACAATGAGAGCAGAATTACTCCCAAGTCCCAACTTACAGGAACAAGACATTTTCAAGGACCAAAAATAGATTCATAGATTCATACATTCCAGCAATATTTGAAATTAAAAAAGGCCACATATATAAGTGTTTTTTTATGAGAAACAAGAACCACTTATATAAGTTGAAATATCAAATTGGAACATTTTCAGTACTGGAACAAAAACAGCTCCGCAAATGCAACAAATCTGATCAAAGATGATGGGTACGATAGCCGGATACTAGTATAATTCATTTGAGCTAACATTCACAAGGTAAATTATACACCCATGACATTACATACTTGAGAGCAAGTCTAGCAGCCACTTGTTTATCGTTCAACCGCAGGCAATACTGCCAACTATTGCTCCATATGCTATTTCCTCCATAAACGTGAGATTGTACAGGGACTGACCGAGTTTCTTCCCCACTTTCAATGATTAGCTGAAGTAAATGATCTGAAGCTCCATTACGTAGATAGCGATCAGACAGTGCAAGAGCATCCATGAGTTTACCTTCTTCTATCAATCTGTTAAATGACAGCAATGAGTGACTAGAAACGGTAATGTTACCTTCCTTTGTAAGCATGATGACAATATTATCCCAAAACCAATCAAAAGATAAATAGACTTGCCAACCCCTCCCTCCAAAGCAAAACGGAAAATTTCTGTTTAATGCTCCCCAAAACCAGATAATTTATGCACTGAAACTTCAGAGATAGTAAAGATGCTTTCCAGCATACTAAACAAATATTTCTCATAATTTCCCTATCTTCGTAAAGAACTATAATACCTCTGTACAGCTTTCTCATACGGTTCTTCATTTTCCCAATCAAAAGAAAGGAAAACTGAAGTATCAAGCTCAGCAACATCAGATTTTGAAGAGTCATCCCAAGGTTCAGTAGCTGCACCACCTTGGTCATTGAGGTCTGGTAAAGCTGTTGAAACACTACTGCTACCAACAATGTCATCAACTTCTGACTCAGTATCACTGTCAAGCTCGCGTAATCTCTTGATAGCTCTTGCTTCAGCCCTAGCCTCGCCACCATCGGCAGTTTGCTTAATTGTTACAGCAAACTCAGAAACTCGATGAAGGTTAGTTTGCATTTGTATCCATCGGTTTAAAGTTGGAAACCTGTACGTAAAAATAACAAGTAAAGCTAGGCAACAATAAGGCAAATACACAAAGAGAAATTGATTTACAGTCATGAATATAACCTCTCCGACTGATCAAGAGCAAACTCATAAAACAACCGATCAACATCAGGTGCCTGCAGCGATCCACCATCCAAGGAGCTTGAGATCGAAGAATCACTGCCATTGTACAAAATTGTACTCCCAAAAACACATGCTAAGACTGCCCTCACTGGGGATAGCTTAACCAAATGTTTAATGACATCTAACTGAAGAGGGTATAGAGGGATTCCGGGCAAGGATGAGGACCGGCAGTAACTATTAGGCTTAGCATCTTTGAAAGAGGGGGATAATACTTTATTTTCTGAGCCACTTTTAGGGAAGGTGGGAAAGACTGGAATGCAGGCCCATCCATGACCAGATCGTGGGGGATAAACTGGAGGTACACATGCTGAAATTACTTCATGGACAAAATCTGCACACATGATCTCAGCTACCTTAGCAGCTGCATCAGTGCTGCCTCGTTCAAAGACAAGACGAGTTAAAAGCTGCAAAATACAATAGCCACCATAATTATATCAATAATCTATCATAAAAGGAAATATGTAAACTACTAACATAAGAACTTTTAGCTTTCAAATCTAAGACACACGATTAAGAACCAAGAAACATCCAACAAAAGGATTTCATATGTATCAAACTAAACTAAATAAACAGACTGGCAAGTTCTGCGTCAAACAAAGATGCTAATATCCCTTCATAGATCATTCTTGCCTATACACTAACAATCCATCCAAACCATGCAATTTCTACGAATTAAATCTATTACATATGTTATCAGTTTTTCAAGAAATGAGAGTATCAGATTTAAATAGGTTCTAAAAGTGTATTAATTTGTACAAATACTAGCGACAGGAAAATAATTCATGTAATTGTCAAGTGTATCGTATTTCTCCTTTTCATCAAGTACACATTTCTTCTCTTTTTATAGGGGAGAAAAATTTTATTCAAGAAAGGAAATTAGAAAACAGGATGGACAAGAAGTCCACCAGGAACATAACAAGAAGAAACCAAACAAAGAAAAAGGAAAACCAAACAGGATCTTAGATCAAAATAGCAGACCATTCCAGATAAATCAAGCTAAAGGTGCAACCTTAAATTATTTTTGACAACCAAACAGCAGACCGGGGACAGGGTTAAACATTTTATCTCATCGAGTATGCATTTACTGCATGCAAGTGCAACATTACTGGTAAATAATGCATAAATTCCATGTACAAATACTCATCAGTTCCACATTTCTTGCCATCATATACATGCCTAAAAGTCACTGTACCATAGTACCAGAAGTTGCACCTAAACATATGTGATTCTACAGCCTTTTAAATTAAACCTATGATTTGATGAGGTTCCTGATATTAAAGTGCTTCCAAAAGTATTCCACTCTTTTAACTAAGTTCCAAAATGCCATCAATAAGAGAACATTAGAAAGCAAATACATATAATATAATGTACACACACTTTACTGCAAATACTTCAAATAATCTTACATCCTTGGGCCACTCATACACGAGTGAAAAAAAGTTGAAATCGTGAGTTGTATCTGTTCCATCAACTATGTCTCCAATTGCAGCAATATGGAGAATAAATTGTGAAAGATATGTCATGGGTTTGGTACTTATTGGACCAAATAATCTCTTCCCATTGTCCTTTACATCATAGCCAACAGGCTGCAATGTAGTTTCTCCAACTGCGGAATTTGATGGTATCTGTTTGGAAACTCTTAGCCCAAGTCCAAGAACTCCGTCTTTGTCGAGATCATAAAGAACCTTCGGGTCACCAGATGGGCCTTCTCCTTTAAAAGAATTTAGCTCTGTTTCTTCATCAGCTATGGCTCTTGCAAGATTATGGAGCTTACCTGTGTGAATTAAAGACATGATGAAGCCATACGAAGCAAAGCATCCATAAAACATATTTCCCCAGCCCTCCACACTAAAAACAAAAAGGATAATCTAGAAAAATGTACCACTGAGAAACTGCCGCTTTCCCTTGTGAGCATCCTCAATCATATGATGTAGCATATCGAGAACACGCTCCCGTTGTCCTAGTCTCTGGAATTCCTTTGGTGAAGAAATGATGTTCTCCCCAGACAAAGTGACCTGAAGGGCTGGAGAATTATCCTGGATGAGTAGATCAAGTGTCCAGGATAAATAATTAAGTAATCTCAAATATAATTTTTTAATGCAGTAATCATTCTGCAAGCTACTCGGGACAGAATGTAATCACCAAGAATTAAAGAATGGAAGAACAACAAGATAGAAAGGAATTAATTTGTTTATATCCTGGTTCGTCAACTTCATAAAAAGACGGTGCAATCTTTTAATAAGAACTCTTTATCCTACATAGGAATATAAAGATCACCTGATCCAAGAACTCATGTAAACGCTTCAGAATTCGTTTTAAAACAGATATAACTGCCACTTCAAGGATCTGATCCCAGTACATGGAGCCTATCTTTGGAGAAACTCCTGGATATATCTCAGACAGCATAACTTGAGCCTGCATATATGAAAAATCGAAGCTTGTTGTAAAACCAAACTACTGGAGTCTGTATGTCTGTTAACAACAAAAACACCTCATAACAAAGCCAACAAAAAGACAAAAGGAACACAGAAGAAAATATGGGGAAGACGAACGTTCTGGAATACATCCAGAGACGGTTTCCAATAACAATCCAATGATACCAATCGAGGCAAACTTTACTTTCTTCCAAGCTCATGATATTTCTGACACATGACATGAAGTCTTACAACTAATACTTCAGAAGAAAAGGCAATGCAAAGATCTTTGCCTATGAAGGCCGTGATAACACAAATGTTGGTCTGGTATTAAAGTATTTGCGGCCTACTGTGGGGGGGGGGGGGGGTGGAAGAAAAAGCAAAACTGATGCTGAAACCTTCAGATTATCCTATTCACATCAATTTCTCACAAAAGTATCAGAACCAAGGTGATTTGGACCACTCAATATCAAAACATTGAAAAATCCAATGTTTTAAAGTAAATACTTCATGTCTTCTGGAAATTAGACAATTCAAGAATCACAAAATAATCTAAGACAAGCATATATAAGGACAACGAATCAATTTTTATGTGGTTGTGCCACAATTAGGATCTTAAAGTTCCAAGTTTATTTGAGCATTGCCTGATCCAAAAGCTGCTGGGACATCTTTGCAGACCTAGCAGAAGTAGCAGCAGCATCGACACAAAGAAGAATCTGACAGGAAATATATACAATATCAGCCCATTAATTAAATATTCAACCTCCCTGAAGATAGTGGGGAGTAGAGACTTGGTAGTCTAAGCACTTACTGCAGCCAAGGGACCTAACTGGGAGCGTAATGAAGAAAAATCCAGATCTTGTATTGTAGAAGTCCCACCATCAGTAGCACGAGAGACTACATCTTCTACCTAGAAAGGCCATCTTATGAGACACTACAGATGAAGGCACCCCAAGGCAAAACAAAGCCAAAAGAAGTCTACATGGAACAAGTACAGATAGTCAAAGCAGAAAAGCATAAAATAAGTAGTTACAAGACATGATTTGAATCATACAGATTGTCTTCTGACAGCACGATCCACCCACTCAGCTAATTCAAGAGTAGCTTTATCTTCTGCAGACAATGAAAAGCGATGCACTGCTTCTTCGCCAATGTCATACTTTGCTCTTTGCATGCACCTGCAACATAAAAGAACAACTGCAATATTAATTCACCTTTGGAAAATTGGCGTCAGAAATCTCATATTAAGTTTAACTGATGATGTATTATGATCTTCAAAATATCATCACTGCTTTCTATCTTGTTTTTTGGACAAGGTTTATTTCATTTAATGCTGTCATCTTTTTTTTTTTTGGGGCGATCGTCATAGTTCATAGTTGTCATAAACTACCATTTGAAAACCAGTGATTTATAACCAATATCCAAAAATCAATTCACACTAAAGAACAGATTGAACACTACATAAGTTCCACAAATAAGAAAATAAAAATTATAGAACTCACAGGTTAAGTAGCTTAGATGGTGCGGCACGTAATACAGTTAATGCCTCCTTCCACTGCCACTGACGTTCAGATAATGGAAGAAGACGCTGCAAAATTGACAGCCGCCATTCCCACTCTTCAATGAAATGTTTAGCAATTGATGCTCTCCACTCCAACGCTTGTCTTCCATCCCTACTAATGCCTTCACTTAGAGCATTATCTAGTTCAGCTACAGTTGACGGAAGACAGTGATTTAATATTGATAGTAGTTTCCCAGTAAAGGATATAACCAATTCATTTCCCCCTTCACATGTTTCATCAGTTTGTTCTGAAGCATAGTGGTGTGATCCAGAAGAGCTCCCCGGTGAAGCACAATGATCCAAATTGAGAGAAAGATCATCCATATGTAAAAGTGAAATTATGACATTTGCCATCATGATCTACACCACCATTGAAAAGAACCATTAGAAAATAATAGCAAACAAAAATGGAAAATAAAAGCAGTGAACTAAGAAAACTGATGGCATTCCAAACAAATCAAGAGCATTTAGATTCAAAGAAAAACATGAAATTTCAAAATGAAGTTGGAACATAATACCAAAGACAATCCATTTGGCAAGCTAATTCTCTAGCATCAGAACATGATGGATAAACAACAGTTATGCATTTGTCCATGAATTTTATTTTATAGTTACACAAAGTTTCAAAGACAGCATGCAGAGATCTGCTCAAGGAAACATGTGGCATAGACTCGCAAGTTGAACTTTCGAGATAAACATACGAAAACAAAACATTTCTACAACCACAAAAAAGGAAGTTTAAGTGAAATGTTACCTTGCGAAAAAAAGAAAACAATAAACAACTTTCAAGCATAACATAAGAAACAAACAATTAAGTGAAATGTTACCTTGCGAAAAAAGAAAACAATAAACAATTTTCAAGCATAACATAAGAAACAAACAATTAAAGAAAAACGCACTAAAAATTAGATTACCTTGCGAGGGATATCGGTGACAGCCTCCAAATGGTTCTGCAGATCTTTCAGATGGCTAAATGCAACTTGATAAAGACCGTCACTTTCACCAGTAATACTCCTTTCCATCACGCCAACTGCAAGAACAGCTGAATCTAGAGCATAGCGCATATGCATGAGTTCAATATCCTGCATCCTAAGAGAAAGGTGAAAACATCAATCATGATATGCAAGGGAAAGCAATTCCACATTTAACAATAAACAGCACTGATATCTGCCGGAATGTCAGATCAACAACTTAGAAAAGAAAAGCAGTCACAGAACTAGCATGAGTGGAATTTTGGACACACTTCCTATTCACAAAATGATTTGTTTTCATCCCTTTCTTTGTATGTCTAGTAATACATGATGCAAACTAAATCATGCATAACAAAGATTGACACCCAATAAGATATGATACAAGAATGCTCACCTCTTCCAGGCTTCTAAAGTTGATGCAATTGGCTGCATGCTTATCAATTCAATGGCCTCCTGAAACTTTATGCCTGGAACAACATCAAACAATACCTACAGAGAATGAACCCATCACATATCACATTCTAACATTGGAGGACTCAAAACTATTAAAAACGGAACCATTACAATGCTAACTATATCTTTAAAGCACCTAAAGAACATATTCAGGGAACAAAAGACAACAGTATAACTTTATATCCAGAGAAAATCAAGTGACAAGTTACGAACTTACGACACAGTATGACAACGTTATTACATAATGCACCAAAATAAATAACCGTAAGTCTATGCATATGTACAAAAAAAATGGTTTAAGAAAAATGCCAGAGTAGATGTTTCCATAAATCATCACCAAAGGTTTTCTCATGGTAAGGTGGATGTAGTGGATTTAATGTGGGGTAGAATAACATTAAATTTTTTGCTTTTCATGGGGGGTCTTTGCTAAAGAAATTATAAGTTACTATTTAGAGTAATTCATGTTGATTGGTGAGAGTCTGGGCTGAGCATAATCTGATTCTTATATGTCATCATTGTACGTCTGATTTCGATGGCCATGTTGTCCATCCTTCCTGTAGTTTTTCTTGCTCTGTGTTTGATCAAATGTAAGTTTCCCTTTCAAAAATAACAACATAGTTATTTTGACGACTTACCCGAAGAGGACTTTGAACAGAAAGCCTTTCCAGTACGAAATTCTCGACAAAAGGATCATTCTCAGCATCTTCATTACTGGAGGCTAGTTGTTCTTTAGCAGACAACATCAATGATGATTTTGAATTCCATGATTTACCAGAATTGACACAGGCAACAAAAGAGGCAAGATCAAGCCGATAACAAAGAGAATCACAGAGATATTCCACACAAGATACCTGACAAAGAATACCACATATAGTCACATTTTTCCTTTGTTAAAATTGATATCATGCCAGAAAAATATCACACAAGAAAGACTTTAGGGGCAAGTACCTCATCCGATTGATTACTATAAAGAGAAGATTCTTCCAGGCGTAAAACCTGTGACTTGCTTCTCCACAGCAGTTGCATTAATTTCCTTCGTGCTGCAGTCTTGCCAGATAATAAATCCCAACCCATGGCAGCTACCAGGGGCTGAAGTCGGGGAAACAACAAAAGAATCTGCACATAGATGGACAAGAAAGGCTAGTCAAAATAGTATCAATACAATATCAAACAAAAAATAAGTGATCCCACAGAATAATGATAATATCATTTCATACTCACATATTGAATTTAAACATAAAACTGGGCACATACATTGCTAGCTTCTTGAAGCTGCTCCCTCTTCACAGCAGACAAAGCAGTATCCATGACACATTCAAGGACATGTAAACCAGAAACACGGGCATAATGGTACATGTCTCTCATGCAAAATCCGGCTACAGTGTTGAAGGTACAAGTTTGATCAGAAACATCTGCCTCAGGATTCAACCCAGCAAGATATCTTTGAAGACGTTCAAGAGGTGGTGGAATCTGGTTGTCATCAAGAGATCTGTACTTCTCAATCTCTTCTGAGAGCAACTCATCTTGAAGAACCTGCAGGAAGCCATAAAGTCAATATTACCTCATGCATGGCTCAGAAGCAATAGTAATACATATTGAATGGCACCCAAAGGATGATAAAAGAAAATATAACGTATTTGATTAGTAATGTTCAAATACATCTCATAATTATGGTCAATGAATTAGAGGTCGCACTTGGTGCGATGGCAAGTGCCTTCGCCCATGAGCGGTAGGTCTCGGGTTCGAGACTTGGGAGCAGCCTCTCCATAAATGGGGGTAAGGCTAGCCGACATTCACCTCTCCCAGACCCTGCGTAAAGCGGGAGCCTTGTGCACTGGGTACGACCTTAGGAAAAAATGCTATTGACCATGATATATATTTGAAAATATAAACTGCATTTATCGTACAGCATTAGCTTGTTACATTAGAATAACCATCATAATCAGATTTGAACTAGCCTACACACCTTATGAAACTGGCTGAACTGATCTACCTACTTCAGGATTAACGAATTTATACACACATAGACATGAATTGATCTAGGTTTAAAGATACTTAGCACCAAACTTCAATAAAGAAAAGCTTTCCAAGTTCTACTTTGCACACACAGATAAATTTTAAAAAAATAAATAGAAAGTCCTTTCCAACTGAGTATTGTAGCTTTCCAAGCAACCTGGCCAGTTAGCTTCACCACATAATGATATCCATTGCATAACAAAATAACCAGAATCATTCAATGAATCATCTAACAAGAAATTAGTTGCAAGACTACTGGCCTAATAAAAAAAAATTCCAATAAAGAATTAACCATGCAGAAACGATTACAAGTAAAATTGAAAACATTACATGTATCATTTCAACAAGACGTCCAGAACTTGATGCAAGAGCAGCACCATAAATCCCCAGTAACTTTTCTCGCATGTCACGCCAGGAATCTCCATATCCCTCCTTTCCTGATGACACCATCTTGAGAAGATCTTGCAGAACCATGCTGTAAGAAACATTCAACAAATGCAAATAAATGTTTAGAAGGAAGTAAGTATTATATATCCTAAGGCCGCATTTGGGATTTCAAGTAGCAGATGCCCTGCTACATCACCGATAACAACTACTTCTCTTTCTGATATTTCATTCCCAAAATTCATCCGAGAGCAGTAAATCATACTCCTATTCCCCCATCTGAGAACCACCCCTCCTAATATAGCACACAATTCATGAAGCATCTTCAAAGTATTATTTATAAAGATTTCTTAAAATGAACAATCCTCCTAACAACTAGCAAAAACTCTGAAATATCTGTCAATCTTCATATTTGCCTAACAATTGGAAAATTCAAGAACTTATTAACACAATTCACCCTCACATTGTTGTGTTCTTCGAATTGTTTTAAGGAAAATTTAAATTCAAACTCGTTAACGAAACAATTGTGCTAAGAATAACATTTATGGTACTAAAATAAGTACAAAACATAATCTATAAAAACACTTCACAAGTTGTACAAACAAATATTCGTTCAAATTTTATAGACATACCGATACTTGTTCTCCTCCACTCCATAATCAAGTTGAAGAAAACGAATCCGCGAAACCACTCCATCGACATCACCATTCTTCATGCCCTCTTTCATAGCATCTAAGTGAGCTAACTGAACACTCCTCTGTATCAAACCAAGAACTTTCAAATCCTCCTCGGAGGTTCCCCCTGCATTTTCGTCCCTCCTCACCGTTAGAGCTAAACCCGAAGAATCATCTCCCTCCCACCCCCTCACTTGGCTCTGTATATTCCAACACAACGCCTCGAAAACATCTCGGTACTCCCAAACTACACTCCTTAAACACATCAATTCGCCTTCCTCAATCGGTACAACGCTTGGCGCCTCATTTCCACTCCCAACATCAGCATCAGCAGACTCTACCGCCACAGAACCCGGCTTCAACCTCTTGACCCCCAATTCCAACACCCTATCCAAAACTTTCACACAGCTATCTAATTCCCCACTGCCATCTCTTAAATCCTTGCTAGTATCATCACTCTTCTCCAACAACTCCGCGCGCTCTTCGAAACTCTCGCTCTCGCCCAAACCCTCTTTCTCCTTCTCTTTCTCTATGCCCTCCAAATCGAAATCCTTCCGCAAACTCTCAGATACCCGGTCGATCAGTTGCTGGACTAGCAATAAGAACTCGGCTCGCAACCGCAGCGTTTCGGGATCGAAGCTCCACGCTGACGACGCATTATCGAATTGCAAGAGCTCGACGGTCGACAAGTAAGTGAGGAGAGCCGGCGACGGACAGGATTGCGACCAGAGAACGTTCTCGAACCGGCCAGACTGCGCGACGATGGTCTGGAGCACAGCGAGAGCGAGCTCGGGGTTACGGGCTCGGAGGGCGATGAGAACCGCCCGGAGCGGCTCGAATTGGGCGAGATAGAGGTGGTTCGCGGCCAGGCGGGAGAGGATTTCGGTTTCCTTGTCCATTGCAGCATATAGAGCGGATAAAATAATCCCTAGCCCTGGGGGTTTCTGGATTTCAATCCGGTGTATCCTGGCTTGTTGGAGTGTTTGTTTATCGGGAAAATGCTGGGTTTTTTGGATTGGATGATGTGGACTGGAGGGAGAGGGGGATTTTTTATATTGCGTGTGGAGAAAGATATACCTGCATATGGAAGTTTATGTTTGGTTCTCGGGAAAGTAGATCGGCGGAATGACGGAAAAGCGACATCAGAGGTAATAATTTGACTGCACTGGAAGTTTCGAACTGAGGAACCGTGAAGAAAATTGGCATGAGCAGGGCAAACCGCCAGCCGGACAGTTTTGTGCTGTTATGTTACTGTTGAGTGAAACCTTTTTATTTTTTTTACAAATTTACAGTTTAAATTGTTAGACCATCTCCTTAAAATTTAAACATAAATTTAATGTTTAATAGTCAATATAAACACTTTTGACATCTTTTTAAGTTTCGTTCTCAAATTTGACCGTTACTGACAGGAGCTTTCTCTGCTGTATTTCATGTCATGTCACATAGAAATTGACATTTCGGTTTAAAAACATTAGTGTTGTATTTTTTTACTATTATTGGTGATGTAGATTTTTTAACATCTCATTTGGAAATACTCTTAGTTGTATGATTATACTTCATTGTCAACAGAAGAGTGTTATGTTACTCAGTACTATGGTTTTGTAGTATTCCTCTTCACTTGGAAATGAGAGGTCTTAGATTCGAATCTCGTGAATAACGAATTCAATACAAAATTAGATTGCACATTGTGTAACTTTATCGAACTCTTCCTCCCCTTAAAAAATGGATATATTAAAAATAAAAAATAAAACAAAATCAAAACAGTCTTATAAAGTCATCGTCATATTTTTCCATTTCAACCCCCCAAATCTTTTAGATGAATATCTGAAGACTCTAAACTTCATAAATCAATTAAAACATGTAATGAGTTATGAGTTCTGTCATATTAACATGATCATCCATTAAGTGACAATAAAAATTACCTTGATCATCCATTTTGCTGTTATTTGTGGGGCTGCTGGATTCTCCAGTATCCATTAAAGCACATAAACCATTGAGAACAGTGCATATGCTTTAGAGCAGTTCCACCACTGCTCTTTAGGTCGGCACTCGGGGCCAAAAAATGGATCGGTTCCCTTCAATTTGCTCCGCCCCAGCCCTTTAGGCTGGCATCCAGTCCAAGCCAGGCCACAGGCCAGCCCATAATTGACAGAGGAAAGAGACACCCCATATGACGTCACGCTGACACTAACGTGGCGTTAGCGAGCGTTTGAAATTTTTTTTGTGCCAGATGCGTGGGAAACACACACGACTAGGCGCATGTTGCCAACAAGATTGAGAGTCAGGGCCCGCATGTGCAGGTGCACCCAATGAACAAAATAGGAGGCCACATGACTCGTCCTGGGCTATTGGATTTCCAACGGCTAGTTTTTCTGAACCGTTGGATTTCCAATGGTAAAAAAAATTTGAATTTGATTTTTGATATGGACCGTCCGATCACAAATCAACGGTCCACTTCCCTCCCCCCCATTTTTTTTTTAAAAAAAATGCACAACGGTCATAATTATGACCGTTGGCCATGTGTCAACTTATAGGCTGTTGGATTTGAATATTTTTCAAATCCAACGGTCCATATTAATTAACAACATTAAAATTTATAAAAAATATTAAAAAATATGAAAAATTGTTTAAAAATACAGAAAATTTTTAATTTTTTTTTCTATAAATACCTAAGGTCCCAGATTAATTAACTACATTAACTAAGGTCCCAGATAATTAACTACATTAAAAAAAATCTATAAATTTTTCTAAAAATTTAATTAACTATTTAATTTATTTATTCTTTTATAAAAAATTTAAAATGGGCTGGGTGGCAGTGCATTTGTTTAAGGGTGGAGATGCATTTGACCTATTACTGTTCATTGGGATATATTACTGTTTACTGAATGGATTAAATGGGTTTGATGCTGGTGCATTTTTTTAGAGGTGAAACTGCCCTTATACAAAAGAAAACAGAATCAACAACTGTGGCATGTAGTTGTCATTTATTCGTTGAAAGTGCAATCAAAATAATTATAATTATAATTTTTTTAAAGAAGTAATTAAGAGTTCTTATGGTTGGCTTAGTGACACGTAGTTAAACATGCAATTAATTAGAATTAGAATTTTTTTTTTTTCTTATAAGGTAAGAGTTTTCAAAAGTTGAGTCTGTGACATGGATTTACAAAAGTGAGACTTTACGTGAATTCCTGACATTTTATATTTTTTGGCATAATTGTTGTGTCAATATTATTAAAATGTTAGGGCGAAAAAATGAGGTAGAGGAGATCTAGGTAGATGTATTCAATTGATAATTTAAAAGATTTTAATGGATTTATAAATCTATGGATTTTTATAGAGTTTAACTAATTTGTAAAGATTTCACGTAAAATTTTGATTCAATTCCCTCAAAATATCATGGGAATGTGTGAGATTTATGGATGCTTAAAATACACTACAAAATCTCTTCAATTCCCTCTAATTCATCAACTTTTCCAAATTCTTTAAATTCCAATTCTAATTGAATACACCTTGAATGTTATAAACTTCTTTAAAATTCTAATTGAATACATCTGGATTTCTAAATATTTTAATAACTATTTTAAAATCATGATTGAATACACATTGAATTTCAGATAATCACTTAAAATCCTGATTGAATACTCCTAGATTCATTAAAATAATTAAAATCCCTCAAAATCTCAATTGAATATACCCCCTAATTTGAGATAAACTCATTAGCATTTTTTTTATTAAATTGTAGCAATGATTCTTTAATTTTAACTCAATTAGAGCAATTATCCGTCAACTAAAAATATGTTACTATTGGTCCCTCAACTCATCAAAACATGCAACTATGGTCCTTCGGTTAAAAATCTATTACCATTGGTCCCTCAACTTTAATTCAAATGGAGAAATGATCCTTCAACTTTAACTTAATTGAAGTAACAATCCCTCAACTTTAACTTAATTGTAGTAATGATTTTTTCAACATAACTAATTTTGACAAAATTATGATAAAGTTGATGAAAATGACCATAACTACACATTTTAATGATGTGAGGAATCTCAATTGTAGTAATGGTTTTTACAATATATCTCATTTTGATAAAATTCTGATAGAGTTGACGGATTGCTCCAATTTAAAAAGAGAATAAACAAACTTCAATCTAAAAAGAGAATACCACCAGCTACGTTTTCTATTAACCTTTTGTGCCTCCCCAAACCTCAACCGTCCAGCTATCATCCAACGGTCCAAAGTAGACCACCCTTCCCACGATAAAAACCCGCACCCAGGCAGGCAGGTTCAGAGCCACTCCACACTAAAATTTCCTTCTTTGAAATTTCCATACTCCGAATCCGATTCCGATTCCAATGTCGACACCGGAATCTCAACCCCCCGCCGGCTCCGAGCCATCCAACGAAGACTCCGCCTCCGTCAGCAAAAAAGCAGCTAAAAAAGAAGCCGCCAAGCAAGAGAAGTTGCGCCGCCGCCAGGAGCAGGAAGCCCTAGCGGCCGCGGCTCGTTCCCTCTCCGTCGACGAGCAGGATCCTCTCGCTGCGAACTACGGCGACGTCCCCCTGATCGAGCTCCAATCGAAGACGGCTGAGGACGTCAGTCACTGGACCGAGGTCGGAAGCCTAACCAATGCGTTGGAGAACCGGTCCGTGCTGATACGTGGCCGGGCACAGACGATTCGTGCCGTCGGGAAGAATATGGCGTTTGTTGTCGTCAGAGAAAGGGGGTTTACGGTGCAGTGCGTGGCGACGGTGCAGCCTGACACCGTGAGCCGCCAGATGGTGAAGTACATCGCTGGGTTGAGCAGAGAGTCGATTATCGATATTGAAGGCGTCGTGTCTGTTCCTAGTGTCGAGATTAAAGGCACCACGCAGCAGGTTTTGTAATTCTCGTAATTTATTTTATTTTTTTAAATTTTGATTGCTTTGTTCTTAATTAAAATTTGAATTAACTGAGTAATTAAGAAGCGATTATAATTGAGATGTTGATTTTAAATAGGTGGAGGTTCAAGTGAGGAAGTTGTATTGTGTGAGTAAGGCTGCTGTTTTACCTATTAACATTGAGGATGCTGCTCGGAGTGATGTCGAAATCGAAAAGGCTTTGCAGGTACATTTAGATGTTTTATTTTGAATTGGATTATTGAAGCTTTGTTAAGCTTTTTGGGACTTTCGCTCTTAGTATGTGTATATTCATTGGGTGGTATGATGGGTTTTTAGGCCGGAGAAACACTAGTTCGGGTTAATCAGGATACCCGCTTGAATAACCGAGTTCTTGATTTGCGAACACCCGCGAATCAGGGGATATTCCGCATTCAGAGTCAAGTTGGCAATGTAAGTAGTCTTTCCACCATTTGCAGCTATTTATCTCTTTAAAGCTAGAGAAAATCGTTAAGAGTTTAGTTCTGTATGTCGGTTGCATTGTTGTGTAGATCTTTAGGCAGTTCTTGATATCCGAAGGCTTTTTTGAAATCCACTCGCCAAAGCTGATTGCTGGTTCAAGTGAAGGTGGAGCTGCTGTTTTTAGACTCAACTACAAGGGTCAAGAAGCCTGCCTCGCCCAGTCACCTCAGCTTCACAAGCAGATGGCTATCTGTGGTGACTTCGGCCGTATTTTTGAGATTGGTCCTGTTTTTAGAGCTGAGGACTCCTTTACCCACAGGCATTTGTGTGAGTTCACTGGCCTTGATGTCGAGATGGAGATCAAGAGGCACTACTCTGAGGTAGAATTAGTAATTTTTAAGGCATTTGTTTACCATTATCGCCCTATATGACGATGGATGTTAACTTATGGTGCAATTATATGCTTGTTTGTTCAGGTCATGGACCTTGTTGGTCGCTTGTTTGTTGCGATGTTCGACTCCTTGAACAAGAACTGTGCAAAAGAGCTTGAAGCTGTAGCGAGGCAGTATCCATTCCAACCGCTAAAGGTCTCACTTATTTATTTTTTGTTGTCTTAATATTTAGGTTGTGATATGTTGGTTGTTGAATGGTCAATGTCACATCGCCTAAACATTGATTCTATTATCTATATATTCTGAATTATAGAAAAAATGTTTCTTCTCAAAAAAAATTATAGAAAAAATGTTGCCGCAGACACACAGTTTTTGGATTCTGATTATTGTCATTTCTTAATTTTTGCAGTATTTGCCAGAGACACTATGTTTAAAATTTGAAGAAGGTGTTCAAATGCTTAAGGTATTTCCCCTTGTTCT